CAAATTGCTCAATTTGTGGACGAACTTGTTTTGGAGTTCCCTGTTCTGCAGGCTTTGCGGGCGTCATTTTCAACCATGCAGAATGTTGCAGATCACTTGACGTCTTGACACTCCGTTGGATTGTGTTGACACACGTCAACAAGGATTTGCTGTTTGAAGGGAGTTTGTCTTGCGCACAGTTTGGTCAGAAAGGTCATTTATCGGCATGTGAATGGTTGTTTTGTGGTGTCACCAGCGCGCGTTCTGCATCACAAGGTCTGGTCGTAGCCCGCTGCGCTCACAGTTCCCCTTCACCGAACAAATCATCTCCAAGATCCTTCTTCTCTTGAGTAGATCTGCAGGACAGCTGTCCCGCTTCAATCCCTTTCCCACTTTCATCAGCTGAGGTGGCGATGGTCGCTGGTTCGGTTGCGTGCCCTTCGGACAGCAGCGGCGCGGTGGTTGTGACAACACCGAGTCGGCGGATCGGCGCACGTTTGGATGACGGTGGCATTGGAGGACTTGTTCCACACAACCGCACTTAATAGGCTAAACCCCAATATATTCAGCCATCAAGTTCAGGCAGGGCTTGTAAAATCAGTTTCTGTTGCTTGCTGTGTAGCTCAATAGTGAGTCTGGTTCAACCAATATTTCAAGTGGAAGCATGTCTGAGGTAAGATGCTGATCTCAGGCAAGTTACCATTGATATCAGGCTCTCAAAATCGATGTGAACGAAAACCGCTTGCAGTGCAGCAATCGAAAAACAACGACTTGAGTACCGAGAGACTGACCTCAGCGCACTATGACAGACTGTCCAAGAGCAGTCTACACCGAAGTATAGCTCGAAGCATATCCAAATCGACCCAGTTTCCAAGACTACCGAGTTCATTGACAAGCTTATTAGGACAAGTTTCCAGTGCGGATCCCTTTTCTCACGTTTTTCGCAGTTGAAAGTGTGCCTGCTGGTTGAGGCAAGTCTTTGCAAGGTAGTTCTGCGGAATCAGAGGAGTCTTGTTGGAAACACTAATTTTAGAGAGCCACTGCATGTTCAACTTGCTTGGTTCGAAGCCGCGAATAGTCATTTTACTTCAACCTTTTGTGCTGGGCATCCTCTCTCTCGTTGAGAGCAGTCAAAATTCAAACAGCAGGTGTTTTGGTTGATGACGGGCAATACCTGACATTTGTCGGACTTTTACCTTGCCTTGGGTGCTCCCTGCCCGCACCTGCTATACTGAGTGTATAATAATCCCTTTACTGGGAATCATGAAGGGTTTTTTCCTGACACGCCTGGTGGCAAAACCTTCGAGTTGAAACTGCAACCTTCGAGTTTTGAAGGTTGATTTCTTTCTTAGTGCCCCGACAGCACGGCACATGGCTTGTTTCAGCTGGTGAGATGGCTGCGGCCGCCGAGATGATGTGAGATTGTGTGTGCTTCCCGGCGACACTGGAGAGTCCGTAGAGGCAGGCCAGGCCATGGAGTACTTGTGGGCTGTCACCGCAGGGTGCCGCCATTTCAGCGTCGGTCAAAAGGCGTGCAAAGTAAATACCGCGTCTCAAGAAAGACTTGCCAGACTTCAGACTTGCCAGAAGGAGGTTTGACCACTGAGTTGCCAGACTTCGCCAAAGACCACTTCCTTACATTGCAATCTCTGCACCAGTGAAGGACCCGGAAGGACGGCCGCTGCGTTTTGCAACGGACTCCACGTAGGTTTGTGCAACACCCATGACACGTCAATCTTGTGTTTTTTTCGATTTTTCGGAGTTGGGAGGTCAACGGCACGTCTTCTAGAATGACTGGCTGGTGTAAACCCAACCTGTTCAGCACGATGTGCAGAAAGGATTTGGGAAGAGTGTCGGGTCATCAGTTGGAGGTACAGCAACTCTCAGTTCCAAACATACGGAAGCAAGAGCCTTGTCATACCCTTGCAAGGTATTGTCCGTGTCAATCAGCCCATGGGTTTGGCCATGGTCAGAATGAACGGTCGGACTGGGTCCAGACTGGATTCTCGCAGCGACTGCCGGGGTCCGAAGGAACCTTGCTAAACGCTCGTTTTCTCACTCCAACCTTTCAAGGACCTGCAGCATCAGCTGGAGGATATTTTTGTCCAGAGACTCCAAGTTCCATGGCCGCGCCAGAAACCATTTTTTTGGCGCTCAGACCCGTGAAAGTGAAGGCTTACAAAACTTGCCATGTCTTCCAACCCCAAGCCCCCAGGCAAAATTGGATCATCTGCAACTCCTCCCTTTTGTCGTGGCTCTCAAATGTATTTGCAACCAAATCACCGTGATGTTCAAGACTAAAGCTTGCAGGCAGTCCTTTTTCCTGCGCGACAATGGATTGAGTTCATCCCTTTGCCAAGGGCTGCATGTCCAAAGTCCTTCTGGGAAGGTGCGGTATGAAAAGTCTCACTGTGCCAGACATCCAGCTGTTATTCCTTGGCATGCGACAGCTGCTGCGCAAACGTGTTTTGTGTTTTCAAGATCTCTTGCTAGAGCTCGAAACCAACGCTTTATCTGCCCTGTGGTTTGCTCTATTCTCAACCGTGCATGCGCAAGTGCCTCTTGGATGCTCTTGCACCATCGCAGACATCTACCAGGTATTGACATGGAAAGGTTGCAGGACTAATTGGATTGGGATTCATAAGCTGTGCCTTCAAACTCACCCCTGGCCCTAAATCATACGTCGACCTCGCCATCCATGTTCCTCTTTTGCCGATCACAGTGCAGGGCGTTGATCCACAACATGTCCGGAAATATTTGGAAATGACATGCTACAAGAGATCCTTGGAACTTTGCGTAGGAACAAGAACGCTACTACGAGCAAAGGGCATCGCTACTAGGAGCAAGGACGCTACTAGGGGCTCCTGGCCGTACTACTAGGAGCAAGTAGCTACTGGTAACAATTAAGAAACTACTAGGTGTGTGACTGAAGAGCTTTGAAGAGCCTTGACACATCGCTGTTGGACTTCGGACTTCGGCTGTATTCGTATTCGGCACAGGGACGGGGCTGAGATGGCAGGGCTGAGCTGGGGCCACAAGAGCATTTGTTTGGCAGTATTCGTACGGTCTCTAATGGAATGAAGCAGATCACTCGAAAGGAAGACTTGTCCCTTGATAAGGATGGCAAGATAAATGTCCAGCCCAGATCCCTTTTTCGGTTTCTAGATTAACAGCATCAAGCATTTAGTCGAGTCAAGTCTTTGCAGTGCATGGCCATACTGCAGGACCGTCTCAGCTGAGCACCTCTGGCTTTAGAGAGCCACTGCATGTCAGTTTTGGTTTGTGCGAAGCCTGAAGTCTTCACTTCAACTACAATTCTCTCCAATCCAAGTGTTTTGCAAGGCAGTCAGTGCAAGCACAGCTAGGTGGCCTTTTTCGTTGAGGGCTGTGGAACAGAGCTCGGTTGCGGGCTTTTTGATTGATGACGGTCATTGTTTTGCATCAAGCCTAAGCAGTGGCAAAGGTTCAAACTCAAGCCATGCGATTGTAAAGAGACAGCTGTATGACAGCAGCTACCCAACCTTGTAGGTAGACCTAGATATATGTGAGTGTGATTGATTATAGGTACCGCGCTTCCAGGATGTCGAGCTTTTGTTTGGTCGAGATTTCTGAAAATGTGTGCTTTCCAGCAAAGCTCCATTTTGGTCGCTGCCATCAAACCTGTAAGTCTTCCGTCATGCCCTGTTTTAGCCCAGGCCACCCTATATTGGGACAACGAGTCTTGACAAGAAAGGGTGTGTATTTGGTGGCCGTCATTGTTGAAAACGGTTCTTCCCATAGTTTCCGGCAAATACTTGTCCCTTAGCTTGTTTTCATCCAGTTGAGTCAAGTCTTTGCAGTGCATGGCCATGCCTAGGAACCGTCTCAGCTGAGCACCTCTGGCTTTAAAGAGTCACTGCATGTCAGCTTTGGTTTGTGCAAAGCCTGAAGTCTTCACTTCAACTACAATTCTCTCCAATCCAAGTGTCGTGCAAGGCAGCCAGCGCGAGCACAGCTAGGTGGCCTGTTTCGTTGAGGGCTGTGGAACAGAGCTCGGTTGCGGGCTTCTTGATTGATGACGGTCATTGTTTTGCTGCATTAAGCCTGCACAGTGGCAAAGGTTCAAGCAAGCCATGCGATTGTAAAGGGACAGCTGTATGACAGCAGCTACCCAACCTCAGAGTTCTGCCTAATGTAGACCATGTAAGAATCGAACAGCGAGCTTGGAGGTGGACGAGCTTGAGTCAATGAAGCCGTGCGTTCAGGTACTGCATGTTTCTGCATTTGACGCCTTCTCCTTGTTGGCAAAGATTTGCAGTCTTTCATTGTCCAGCAAAAATACATTAAAATACACATACTGTAAGTGCTTCTTCCTGAGCCTCTTTTGAGGCACAGACGTGCTTCCGCACCATCGGTGGTTGATCCGAGTCGGTGCGGCGTTGGGGTACATGACAGGTGCAGTGCAGGACGAACATCCAAGCACTCGAGGCAAAACCCTTTCGGTGACTGACGTGATGTGATTGGCACGGATCAAAGACTCATCACTTCGCCGGGAGTCTTTGCACCTGGTATATTTGCCCGCGTTTGAGGCCAAGTAAGGTCTTGGCAGGATTTGTTTGAGTTTCACGCCGATGTTGCATTGTGGCTTAGACAGAATAGTGTAGCTTTGGATTTCAACCGTGTTGCTTAGAAGGAGAGCGCCGGCCTGCTCAAGGGTGTTTGTTTCTGTCCGCGCGACACACCAGGACATCCAGGCTACTCCCCAGGATAGGCTATTTTGGGTGCCACACAATAGCAACGGCTGGATGAGCTGGGTTGAGCCTCAAGAGAAGAGGATGAGGGTTTCAAAGGTTAACTTGCTATCTTCTTTCAACTGCTATGCAAGAGTCTGATCAATTTGAGCAGGAAAAGCGTGCAGCAGGGACAGCAGGGCGGATGGAATCATTAAATGAGAAAGGTGCGTCACCTCTTGTCAGGCTTCTTTCAGCAGCTGTTTGGTTTTCTGAGTTGGAATGATTCCTTGGGAGTGGACTCAGCTGGAGGCCCAGACCTTCTCGCTGGGGAATATGCCGCCCCACATCGTGCCTTGCACTCCCGGGGGGGTGTTCAGGCTGGGAAGCGACCTGCAGGGACCGTCAGCGGCCACCAAGTAAGCACACGTGACCGACCATGGATGACCATGTGGGACCATGTAGATGTTAGTGATATCAAAGTGATGGTAGGACAACTCATAGAAGCGTCCGATCGCTCCTAGTAGTAGGGCCAGCGGCCAGCAGCCCCGAACATAGCGTTCTTGCTCCTAGAGTGAACCAATAAAATGACAAACTATGGCCCCCCTGGCGACTCGTGGCAGATGATGTTCATGATTGGGGACACAGATGACTGGGGGGAATGACCGGGCCACACATGTCAGACACCAAGATTTTGAATCATTTCTGATGACGTTGAGGGTTTGAGTTCTTTCCTACTTTTGCATCAGGAGTTGCAATGTAGACCTACAATGACAGAGTTATTGATGTGCAACAACAACCACCGAAAAGGGTGGCTGATGTCACAACTCTTTACCAACCTTTTGGATGGTTGCTGCAGTTGTGTACAAGACCAACTCTTTACTTGTACGTCCATCCATCACTTTTGTCTGGCCTCGCTGTATGTTGGGCTCAGGTGCCCTTTGTCTTCAGCTATGCTGGAGGCAATTCCCGGTCACAACGTGATGGCCGTCTCGGTTGTCTCATGAAATTGCTTGGATTTCCTTTTCACGCGTAGATCCACTGACCAGCAGACCGTAAACACAGACCACAGAAGACTCTCAGAGTCTCGGAAGCTTGGAACCTGCGTTGACCGTTTGGCTGACGTTGACGTTGTCGTTGACCGTTAGGATGTTGGAAGAAGACCTTTGGCCCAGGAGCTGAGCTCTCCTACTTTCAAGCTCGGGCTCACTTTGCGGCTCGGGTGCCCAGGGTCCCGAGGCTCAGATGGTCGAATGATTTGAGAGAGGAACCAGTTCTGGATCTGTTGTCCTCATATCTCGGTCATGTACATCTTTTCCACGCCTACCAAGTCCAGTTAGCCCACCCGGACTTGGAGGGGTCTTGAAATGCCAGGACACAGCGTCGCACACTCCCCACAAGAACCGCGACGCCTCGGCAGTGACACTGTGTCACCGAGGACTATGGCCAGGACTTTTGCCGCTTTCTGCGGATTCTCTCGTCGCACTTCCACGAGGCGTTTCGTTGGCTTTCTCGTCCCTCGCAATCTTGTTTCTTTGACCGGCTCTCCTTTGGCGACTTTATAAAGAGTTTTGTTTGTCAAATTGTTGTTCCTTTTGAGGGGAATCGAACGGGCATTCTACAAAGTGGTGGAGGATATACAGATATAAAACTACATGAGCTGGGTTGGAATCTAGACAACAGTAAATCTCAGTTCGTGTGTGTGTGTGTGTCACTCCCTGTCTCTAAAGGATACACATCACTTCTTCGTGCCTTTACTCCACCTAACTCCTTTCCAATGTACAGAATCTGAAAGAGTTTTCACAAACGATGACCTCGCCATTGTGTTGTGATATTTGGGACCCCAAAGTCACGTACCTGCCATAAATTTTAAGCATATCTTCTCGAGCCTGGTTAAAACATGTTAAAACAAAAATACTGTACTGCCGACTTATTCACCTTTCGGTTCACCAGCCAAGGTCTACCTGCATTAAAGGTGTAATTGCAGCAAAGGGGAGACTCACTAACTGACGCTATGCTCTTGCGACCCCTTCATCTAAGTGTGTCACACCCTGCTTTAAAGGGCCAGACTCAAATTGAATTTGTCCTATTTCCTCTGTGATGTATTGTTCTTTCTCTCTTTTGTTTCTAAAGGTTTGTTAGGTGTAACCAGGTCGGCAGATTGTCCATTGCCCAGACTGGGGTGGGTGGGGGGGTAATGACCGTTCTTCCGACATCGTGAAGCAGTTCGAAAGTTCAGTAGAAGGATTCATGGATGCAGGTTCGGCACTTTCCAAATTTGCTGATGCAAAATTATTTTCGTGTTTCCCATTTTATGAGCGCTACAAGGCTGTTTTTGAGGTCTCAAGTCGTTTGCACTAGCAACTAGTCAATGCGGTAAAGTGTTAAATCTGTAACCATACAGACTGATCTAAACTGTAAAAGTGCACACTCTTGACCGATTGTCACTGCCATTTGCTCTTTTCGAGCTTTAATCTTAAGGAAGTGTCCAGTGTTTGATTGAAACATGTATACTAATTTGATGTGATTAATTGTGATTGGTTGGCATAGAATTGATTTAGGATCCTGGTTGTGTTAGGAACCTAGGTGTTTGAGCAGTACTGTGTGTTTGGCCTGCGTTGTCCTCCGCGGGCGCCTCGACCGAATTCTCTATGCCCAAAGTTGGCTGCCAAGACAGAACCTGTGGACCAAGACCATCCAATTGACACAGCACAGTAGTTTCACCACGAACCGAACCCTTTTCACACCTCACGCATCCGCCAGGTTCACATCCTCACGCATTCCTGTGGTGCTGAGTCTCCAAGCTGCATTGGCACCGGTCTTTTTTGGAGCAGAACCATGGAAGACCAATGGATTTGCCGCGTCGCCGTCGTCGTTGTTGTTGTTTTCCGATGGCGAACGGTTCCATGATCCAATCCCAGGTTCTTCTTCACCAACTGGGCGGCCATTTCGCAGTGCTTCACCTTCCGCCGTGGCAGCCATTCCTCGCAGCGCATGAGCGGCAACGGCCGCACCGCGCGCAACGGCCGCACTGCGCGCTGGGTCTCAAAGGGTTCTCGCAACTGGGCTTCAATCGTTTTCCCTCATGTTGAGGTGTCGATGGCAGGCTGGATTTGTTCGATCATTTTGCCTGCAGTAGCAGCCATGATCAACCAAGAACCTAGCTGAAGTCGCGTTTTTGGTTTGTTTGTAGCAGGTGCCATTTGGTATTTGGCATGATGAAGAGGGTAGCTGGGGAAAATGGAAGGAGGTGTCTCAAAGTAAGATCGCCGATTCTATCCAGCCGGCACTGCTCCACACAGGTCGGGTAATTTCAGGGTCTATATGAGTTTGCTGGTGCGTATCTAAGAGAATCTAACAATAGAGGGGCCAGCGCCCTTCACCCAGGTGTCAAGAAACAAAAACGCCACTTGCGACGGATGTTTTTTCGACATGTCAAGCCACCGAGATTCGTTTGCCAGCGTACGTAGTTCCCTTGCAAACAATTTCTGATCGATTGGCCATCATGAATTCAAGTGTTCAAGTGGTACTCAAAATGGTTGGAAGGGACGCATCGGCCACATGAGGCCGCATGGATGAGGAAGGGCAAATGCACCTGGCAACTCTGACGATGCTCAATCCCGATGTGCTCTTTGAGACCGTGGAGTGTATCCTTCCGGCGCCAGGGCGGAAGCATTTTTGGGGGTGTTGAGGTGTCCGCTATGGGAGTTACACAATAAAATGCTACATTCTATTCTTAATATGTCTTAATAAGTGATCAGATTGGAGTCATCCAACGAGAGTTGTGTGCAGGTCAGGGTGTGCGAAAAGCCCGCATTGTGCGGTTTCGCTTTTCAGGATATCATGAGGCACGCCGAGCACTTCACGTCCTACAACGCTCCTAGCCTGGCTGTTTTTGTTGTGCGTGTGGCTGTGGGTCAAATGTTCAGTCCTAAAGAGGAGGCAGTGTCCAAATCCAAACTATAATATAGTTATATTAGTATATAGATAGGCCATATCAAAAACAAGGTTCACGGCGCTGTCGCCGCCCGTGCAAGGGTTGCTCATGGTGTTTGACCCGTCGCATGGTCTGACAGTGTGTAACCCTCGCAGGGGTTTTCAAGGTTTCAATGGATCTGCACACTTTTTTTTCTTCTTATGTTTATGTATGTTCATTGAAATTTACAGTAGTCCGGTGTCGATTTGTGTTTATCACCACAGCGAGAATCAAGTTGTTTCATGTGTTTTCTTCGTTGATGCGACCTGTACCGTTTCGGAGCAGCAATGTGATCCCAACAATCTTTCAAGTCTGAAAACTCTTCTAAACACTCGAAGTCCATAAACCGATGTGAATCTAATGTGCAAAGACAAAGCAACACAAACGTCAGTCCACCAGCGAGTGCCTAGATCCAACAAGTCGTCCAAGTAGCAGGGGTCCCAAACAGAGAAACCAGACAAAGGACCGGGCCAGGAAAACATAAAGTCAAATCCCGACAAACGAATTAACAAAACAAAGCAAACCACCCAAACTGAACCTGCGCATGCGTGAACCCAAAAACTTGGATTGAATGGTGTAATGACCCTCAGGTAGCCCCAAACACAAAAAGCATAAATAACGATTCCGCACATGTAAACAAAAACATGTAACATCAACATTATGCGTTCTTGTCCCCCCCACCCCACCCCACCCGAAAATCAGTTCGCGGGCAGCGAGGGCGCCCAGAACCATAAAACAACCACTCGTGCAAGCAAGTGACACCCAAACCAAGTATTCCCCTCACGGTGGAAGCTTTGCAACCCTTGATATGGAAATCCAAGCTTTGCATCATAAATCAACAGACCCATTTGGAACCACCCAGACTCATAGGGTAGTAGGATATAACAGCCTCGTGTAGGATCCTGGATTCAGCTTATGGCCTCGCTAAGGACAGCAATGACGGCGCACTCTTCTGGAGCGGCGTGGTGCGAGGTTTGTTGTCAGCCGTCACAGGCGGCGGTCTTTTTCGGATACTGGTGATGTGGAGAATCTGGCTGCAGGAACTTTCAGCAAAAGCCGTTCATGTCAGGGTAGTATTACTGTAAGGTTTTTTGGGATTGATTTGGGTCCCCATGACATTTGGGGATGGCGGTCAGTCTGAGACTGTTTTGATGGTCGATGCTTGGAGCATCCACGATGTTGTCTATGATTGGGATCCAAACGAACTCCGACGACTGGGGGTCACAGTTGACCTCATCCCACGGTGCACCATGTAAGGTCGACTACAGTATATATATATATATATATATGGGAGTTGATCGAAAACCCCGTGTAAGGAGTTATTTATATATATAAATATTGATCAACCACCGTATATATATATATATATCCGTTTGTGAGTCGAATCATGAGGAATCGGTGCAAAACGTCGGTGGATTGGTCATCCAGGGTGCCCGCCTTTGGGACCCCATTGAGTGCAACACCGGCAAGTGCGGACACAGTCTCAAAACCCCGTGCGACCGCACCGGCACGTGCGGGTGCGATCACGGGCGACAGGCAAAGGCTGTAGGAAGCAACACCTTTTCGGCACGTCGGTGCAGTGGGGAGTCCCAGCCAGGAGTGATTGCATTCTTAGATGATGTCTTTGACAGAGGAGCAGGAATTGTTGGAATTGCAATCCTGTGGTAGATGCTTGTGTTGATCGAACAGGAGTTGGTATGTGTCGGAACAAATCCACTTGTTTGTTTGTATATGCAAGCAGGTGATGGCAAGCAGGTGACAACAAACAGTTCTATAGCCGACTCTTCTCTCCTGTTGGTCTTTGTGCTGAATTTGCTTTGGGCACAAATGCAAGGAAGCGGGAACATCACCAGGAACGGCGGCCATTCTTAAGAAACACCGTTCTCATATTCTGTGCTTGTGTTTGTCTCAGATCTCTGCAGGAATGTCAGTAGATTCAGGATGATTCAGGGATCTCCTTTTGCAAATAATACAAATAATTTGCACAGCCTGGCATCCTAGGCAAGTCAGGTAGAAACCCGAGTTCCTTACAACAGTACCTGCCATGTGCTGGTACACTGACAGAAGATCCTATTTCCCTCAAGTGAACTTGCATTTGGAACCTTTGACCTTCCTGAAACTAGGACAACTATAGGACTGTACAAAGAGTCACCCAATAGACTAACGTGACTAACTGACGTATTGCTTCCTTATGACACTTGTTGACACCTGAAATGCATACGAGAAAAAGGCCACTTGCATGTTACTGGGCCTCGCGAAACGGCCGATTCCACCGTACCGTCCTCTTGAAGGAAATGAGGGCTGCCATATCCCCATGGAATCGTTGAAGTACACCGTTGAAGTACACCGAGATGAGGAAAAAAAGACATGCCAAGACTTTTGGACCCAGACTGCATGCTTGTTGCACCCACCTCACACCCACCTGCCGTGCCGGTGTCCATGCGTCCCAGGCCGCTCTTTTGGGATGGCCATGAGCTCAAGCGGGGCCAAGGCATCGGCATGAAACGCAGGCGGAACTGCTTTCAGGGCGGACAAGGCGGTCGTTGTTGAATGAGGTGCAAATGATGTTCCATACCGACCATCGATCGCCTCCGACTCCGACCATGTTTTAACTGAGTACATACTCCATGAACTATTCCCCAAACGCTACTTATAAGATCTACTCCAGACTCATCAGACTCCTAAACCCCAACGTTCGGCCAAAGACACGGCCAGGCACAGTTTGGACAGCCGCATCACCGCGCCACGGGTGATGTCGGGCGCTGTGAGCCATTTGAGCTCTTTGGTGAACCGACCTCAAATCCCTGGCCACTCGGCGAGGTCGGTCGTGTTCGGTCACATCTGTTTGAAGTCCAGGTCTCCGGTGTGCCGGCAGCAATTGGGGTGGGGCAGGATGGCTGAGGTTTTCTACCTGTGAGCTCTACAAAACGGCGAAGTTTACTTCGCAGCACAGAAAGGATGACGCTCTGGAACAGCTCCATCCCACGACCAGTTATAGCGTGCAGGCTGGCGAAGGATGTCCTACCTCGTCACAGGATGGTCATTCCATGTCCAGAGTATTGGGTGGCGCGGATTCTGTTCCAAGTTCCAACAGTCGGATTTTGCATCCCAGTGACTTCCTCATTTTTTCATTTTTTTTAAACATGCCCTTTGAAGCAAAGACAGAACCAGGTGGAACCATACTGTAAGCGTCTTTGTTGGCTCATCGCACATCATCTCGACAGCTGGATTGCTGGGGAGATTTTTAACTGATCACAAACCAACATCGCAGGTGGTGAGTACAAGCCTGTACCATATCAAATTCATGTCAAAACTGTAAAAACAAAAATTGTCAAAAAAGAGAAAATGGACTCTTTGAGATGTTATGGCAGTCATATTTGCACTCCATGGCTCCATCAACTTGAGGTGATGGCTCGATCGACATCATTGACTGTTCCAACATTGATCAGTGACTCGGCTGACGGCGTCGGATGGAGCTCACAGTTGAGCGATGAAGCCTGCAACACATGCTGAGTCGACCAGGAAACCAACAGAGTCTCAATGTTGTTGGTCCCTTTCTGTGAGCCTGGCGATTCATTTTGGGCTGTGTTCAGAGGTGGTTAGCCCCACATGAGTGATTCAGACAAGTTTGGATCGGGCAATATGGCCAAGGAATGTGCACGCTTTGCGGCACAACTATTTCATGTTGAACACGCAGATGGTGGAGGTCACTTGCCGTCAACGACGTTGCGATGTGAGAACTGAATCATGCAGGTCAGCAAAAGCTTGCAAGAGGTCCACAGGTCCAGTTGAAGTTGTCCCTTAAATTTACATGAATTTACACAGGTTTTCCTGCAGGTTTAAATGAGGTTTTTTTAACTGATAGAGTCTGGTGTTGCCGTCAGACCATTTTCCAAAAAGTCGGGCTCTATGCTGCTACTTCTTCACCTTGAGAGCTAATATGCTGTGTCCATCAAATCAATGATAAATGCATTAATTAATGCAGCCATATCAGAAACGGACAGAAGCAACAGACGAGTCATCGTTGAATGTTGAGACTTGAAACTCAACATGCTGAGACTTTGATCAACATGGACACACAGACTGGACTCTGTAGAGGAACTTCAGCTTCCTCCAGGGAAACCTTCAGTTTGCCCGGCTGAAACCTGTCACGTCCGCCGTGTCCCGTGCACGTCCGTGCATGTCAGGACATGTGTGACTTGATCGGACACCGGCAAAAGGCGCCGAGCCGCAGCCGGCTATGTCAGCACGGCTCCTTGGAGGACGTCCGGGTACGTTTGGGGACGTCCGGGTAACGGAGGTGTGCGGGGAAAACTGAGCGGTCAGAGGGGAACACCATGCGAAAAACCCATGTCATGGCAAGGCAGCCTCATTGTGGAGAGATTGTGGAGGGACATGAACGTCACGATGATCCATGATGATCCATGATGATGATCGATGAACCCATCAACCAACTCAAATAGTTAAATTGAATCAACTTATCTTATTATTTGCATGCGTGTGTGTTTCTTTTCTGTTAGGGATTAGCTCCAGGTGTACTGGATGCCAACAGCACTCATCGGTGCCAGTTTTCGATATGTCTCACCTTCCCTCCATCTCAGGTGATGGAAACGTCTTCAGCTTCCTTTCACCGCCCTCCTTTCTGAAGTCATGAAGCGGATCAAAGTATCCGAACATCCGAAGGGGCCCTTTCGGGGCCCGAGATCCGATTCGAGGAGAAAAGAGGTGCAAACAAACAGGGCCGATGCGACAAACATCAACAAACTGTCCGGTGAAACCCCCAAGCCCAGGGCGGATGCGGCGGATGCGTCCGGTGAAAAGCCCCTTATTCAGGAGGATGTCCATCGCGAGCGATGAATAGCTTGCCACGAACCATCCAGGACCATAGAGGTGGGTGGAGATCCAGGCAAAGAATTTCTTCAGGTCGCAGACATATGGCTGAAAGGTTCTGAGTCAGTAGCCAGGACGATGGAAGATGCCAGAGCTGTCAAGATGGCGCGACTGAAAGCTGCAGGGCAACTGAGCTATATCGAGAAGCTGGAACCAATGCGCATGGAGTCAGGGCTCAATTGGTGTTCGGAACTCTCGATGGATACAGCTTCGGCAAAAGCGCGGCCACGGATTTTCGGGTGAAGAGGGAGTTGATCGGATTGAACGGTTGGGAGGTGGGTGCCGTTTTTGTGGTACGGGGGAATTGGCTCTACAAACGTTCGCTTGAGATCGCGAGGGACCCAGGGATGCTGTCGGCAGGGGATGGGCGCCATGCGCTTGGACCAGTAGAAAGGAGGTGGCTCGCGAGTGGCGAACGCAGGTGGCGAAAGCAAGGATGACAAACAGAAGTTGGTAGGTCAGACTCCGGTCAGACAGTATAATTCGCAAGTCTTCCTAGTAACTAGTAACTAGGAGTGACTAGTGAACGATCAACAATTTCATGGCATGGATCCATACCAGGAGATCCCTTCAAAATGTCAAAACCCATCAGAACCCTTCAATTCACTCAAAACCCTCTGGTATTTCTTTGATTTCTTCACCTAGGATTTCTAGAGGCCTATCCCCTACCGACCCCTCCTATCGCCCAACAGCCTTCCGTGTTTTTTGGGTCAGCCTGGTCGCCCGCCCAGACATGGAGCGTCTTCCCCAAGCGGTACACTCCCAGCGGCCCGGTGCCACCACCTACTACTCCACGGCCGACGTCACCACCTGCATGGCTGCGGGGTGCAGTTTTCTTCCAAGTGCCATGCGCCTTGCAGTTTGTGGTGGCAGTTTTGGTGATTGAAACCAGTTTAGTCAAGTCTCTTGTCAATACTGTAAATATCTGTAAATATATATATACAGTATTTGCTTCTACTTGGGGGTTGGATTAGGTCTTTGGGGGGCCACTCTCAGTTTGAGAGAAAATGTATGAACATGTAATATGGATGATTTTGAGGTGTAAAGACAAGTGCATGAAATCCCACACAACCAAATGGAGCCTTGAGGCTGCCTTGCCCCTTTACGATCTTTACGATCGGTGGTTCATGTCCGACAGGTTACTAACAAGCCTCTCGGGACCTGGCCCTGGGCAGGATAATTTGTCGCACTAGGCGTCCAAACACCGTGGGGGATCTGACTTTATGCCCGTCCTTGCTCCGTTCGTAGCTTCTTGTTCCTGGTACTACGGCCAGGAGCCCCTAGTAGTGTCCTTGCTCCTAGTAGCGATGCCCGTCCTTGCTCCTAGTAGCTTCATGTCGCAGCCTGAAGGTATGTGTTTGGTGGTGTTTGCCAAGATAGATCGATGGCTAAACTATTCCGTACCATCCCATGATTCCGTACCGGGGTCATGTCTCTAGTCTAGGCTGGATTACGTCTATGATTCTTCATCTTAACAAAGATCTGAGTAGATTCAGCATCAAAGAGAATGTAGTGGTATGGTGTCCACAGAAGCAGACTCACAGAACAGCATACAATCTTGGCAGGTGGCACTCCCTGGAAACGAATGTAAGGGGAATACCTTGTCACATTCTATTGTTGAGACAAGCAAACATGCGAGGCTCCTGCGGTTCTTTGACTTTGAAATGTACGGGACACACACAGGGTTCCCGAACACAGACTAGACTAGACTAGACTGTTGTGTTGCTTGCTCAAAAAATGCAAATACAAGCTTTGAGTCAAGCGACCCATTCAAGCTTTTAATTTATTGTTGTTTAATTGATTTCAGTTGTAACAAGTCAACCTGTTGTATAACATTGTGTATAACAAGTGACTTAGGTTCAACTTATGTTTGGTTAAGTCAATGACCCAGTTGCATGACTCCCTCAGGCACCGAACCGCCCTCCAAGTACTCGCCTCCGCCAGAGCCGCAGTGCTGCGAGCCGCCGAACGTGGCGCCCAACGTGGCGCCTGCGCGGCCCAGCTCAGGCAAGGAGTACGGAGTGGTAGGGATGAGCTCAAAGGATTATGTTTGACAATATATTAGTTCGAGATGTTATTTCAATCCGATCAAATAAGAACCACGAAATGACAAGCGCCCTGGTTCTTAGACATGACCTCATAATTCATGTTTGCTTGCCTCATTGGGTCGATCCGGGCATGGAATTTTGCGAGGAAGACGTGCAGGTGGATGATTCTTGGTCGACCAGCTGTTTGCAGCAGGTTCTGCAAATGTCGGACCCCGAGAGTTCACTGCAGCAGATGGCTGCAATTCAGGCTATCAAAGTGGGTACTGAGACCCCCTGTAAACAGGCTTCCGTTGGAGATACGAAGGCAAATACGCCATCTATGTTCTACTATAATATGCCCTATCCCGCCCTACTACACAATTTCTATCAATTAGCTGATGTCAATTAGATTCCAAATCCTGGGTGGTTCCTTTTAGCCAGTTGTTTGGAAGATGTCCAGTGCTCGCAGTGCTCTTTCTCCAAGCTTCTGGCAGGCAGGAGCAATCCCAACAAGTGCTGGACACCGCCTGCAGCGCCAACAGATCTAAGCTCAGGCATGGCAATGAGTGGTGTCAGTGGTGCTTGACGAATAAGAGAGGCTGAATGAGCCATGAGCTGAACAGTTTCTGGATCACGATTGGTGACACTCCCGCCACGTTCACGAATGAATGTACTGGAAAGAACCCCTCACTCGGCAAAGTTGTGAGTCTCTCACTTCTAACTAGTTACCCGAGTAACATCTCTGCAGTTTGAAGTTAGCTTGTCACTTTATTTGCTTTGAAGTTTGGTTGATTCCGTGTTGGAATGTCAGTTCATTTTATAATTATATAGTTTGATATTGATTTCCTTCTTGAATGTCACTTTCACAATATCCCTTTACAAGTGTTGTTCTGTTGATTGCTATTGATTCCAGAATAGTTACTTTGAATATCTTGCATCCACAGCATTCGGGAATGCACTTGAGATGCCCATGCAAAAGCCAAGTATTGCCCAAACAAACTTGGCCAATAGAGTGGATAAATTAGTTGCCCAACCAATTTCTAGTTTGGATCCAATCATTTTGCCCAATTGGTGTCGTAAAGCCTTTTGTCAAGCTTCCATCCGCTAGGCAGGAGCACTCCTAACAAGAGCTCCGAAGAAACGCGAAGGACGCCACATGCGGACAAACAGGGAATCGGAGCTGCTGAGGATGGCGCAGGCGCTGGTTGTCACGCAACACCATCATTTGGGAATACATGCTTCGCCCGGACTGGATGCTCCAGAGAAGCATGGGCTGTAAGACAACTGACCCACATGGTTTGCATGTTGGTGATGAAAAAACATCTTGCGATCTTCGCCGCACACAACAACGCATCAGGCAAAACTTCCAAGTGCTCGCCGAAGCCTGCACCACCATCGGCGCCATGGATACCACAGCCCCACCCTCCACACACACCCACTCCTAGTCCCAACGGCTGCTTTGAATCCAATGCCACCGGGCAGAGAGAATGCATTGGAAGTTTGTGTGTGTGTGTGCGTGTGGCAGATGTTACATGAAGTCCAATTTGCTGTCTTTTTTTGGTTTATGAGCCCCTTTTATGTTTGCAATAGCATTGAACATCGTCAAGCGGAAGCATGGGTTCCAGCCAGATGGGTTCTGAGGACGACTCACTCACCATCAAACAGCAGGCTCAGTCGAGGACAGCCCAGTCCAAAACGGCTGATCAAGCGACGGAGGTCGAGGAGAGAAGAAGACACCAGTTGGCCGTGGAGGTTGATCGGATTTTGCGACTCACGAATGGCACCCTCGACTGGGACAGAGTCCTTTGCCTGGAGAAACATTTCAGTCAGCTGGATTTGTGTTCAGAGATGTTTTGCTATTTACTATTTTATATAAGCAGATCTATAGAATCTATGCTTGGATAAAAAGTTTGGGTGAATAAAGGTGTTGGCATCGTGAAGTAAGGTTGTACCAACACATGTTCATTTTTAGAGTTCTTGAGCTTCTGGATGGCCCTTGTCAGGCGAAAGAGACTTAGAGAAGAAGAAGCGCGAACTCTTTCGGCTGTTGCACCCGGACAAGAGCTCCCGCTTTGCCCATCAGCTGGGCCTCCGGGGCGGTGTGGAGCGGATTCGACAGGCCTACAACCTGGTGGAGGAGGCCTATGCAAAGGCCAAGGAGACGCTCAACTTGATCAGTGTTTGAAAAAAGTGATTGCTCGGAGTGTGGAGCCCGACGGGTGGGATGGATGGGTGGCCAAGTAGGCAATGACCCCGGAAAGAACCCCAAGTACTCAATGGGGGCTCATTTTGAGATATTTTGAGACACGTTTGCCCAGATGCCTCTTTTGAATGAGGATTGGATCTGGCGGGTGGCCGTTCCTTTGGCATTTAAATAGGGGGTTTCAGAAAGCTATGGCCATGACATACCATGACCATTCCCTACTGCATAGATAGTCATTGTCCATGAAATTGATCTAAATTGACTTCCCTAATATAGAATGCTGGTGGACTGATAGATATACCCCCATATTCCCCCCCATTATCCCTTTATTGGGATTGTAAACCATTTTCATATGATGTGTTGTTTTGCTAATCAAAGGTTTACATAAGGAGCCAAAACCACCCCTGCCATCTCAGCAGCTATAGGACATTGGAAATTTGAGATCGCCATGGCCCCCACCAATGTGAGGTCTGTCCCCTCCATCCAATGCGTCAGATCTTTGGAGCCAGGCTCCGGTGTTGAAGAAGCCAGCGGCGCGGGCCGAGCCGCCACTTGGACGGCAGGCGGCAGGTTCGGAATGCGAACTGGACTTTGGGGGAGTAAGACAAAATACAGTAACTTTGGAGGGCCGGGTAGAGCTACATCGAGTTGAGTCATATAAGTACCTCAGTGAACGGTTTGAGTTTATTTGTGTTGGGCATTTGCACACGTCGAGTGTTCCCTTTTTGATGAGGAAAGTTGGTGGAAGTCCTGGGGTGCCGATGATGCAACAGAGGATTGTGAGTTGCTTCACTACCTCGTCACGCTCTTTTTTTCTTCCATTATGGAAGACCAGTAATGATCCTCCTTGATCGTTCGGTTTGGTCAGGACCGTGAGGTACGGCTTCCAGCGCCCCCATCTTCCAGCGCCCCCAGGAAAGGCGCGGCCAAAGCGAAAGGCAAGGCGAAAGCCACGGCCAAAGAGACCGAACCAGCTCCTTGGCACGGCTTGAGAGAGAGGCGCCCAGTACGCCCATGTGGGTCTTCACTCTCCGCCCTTGGACTGGAGAGATTGTTCGACTCTTTCTGTGGTTTGTTTAGTAAGGAAGACTGGATCACCATGAAACCAACCACTGGATTTGGACATTGTATTCCAGATCTTAGAGGTTGTGAGGGATGTTTTTCTCTTCGGTGGTGTTCGTTGTGGTCACTGAATCCTCATGACTGCAGGCTGAAGAACCAGAGCCAGCAGAGAAGGATGAGGCGATCTGTTTGCGATCGTCGGACGGTCCTCGATCAAGCCCCTTTAGGCTAACCCAAAGGTGAGATTTCTGTATATGTGTGTATTTTAAATGGGGGAGACCTCCCAACCAATGGATTTAGTTTGTCCATTGATTTTCCCACAAGTCTTTGAGTCTTTGAGGTGTCTCCCTATTCTATGCATACAAAAATTTGGGCGTGTGATTTCTTGAATTTGGAGGTTTATTTACAGTATTTGTCATGAGGTCGAGCGATTCCTGCAGTCCTAGGCAACAGAAAACTTGCCATCCAGCACGCTAGAGAGCCAAAGCAAGAAACAGGGAATATACATGCAATCATTATTAACGATGAGTTATGGCTGGGCTAGAACTCATCATGAAGTGGCTGAGCCATAGATATAATTACGGTAATAAATACATAACTGATGAGCTACAGCTAGTCGTGAAGAGCATGATTCCAATTGCATTCCAATCTCAAGCTTCGATTCATTCTGTTGCTCGAGGCACCAAAGCCCAAAGGAAAGGCAAAGGCAAAGGCCAAAGCGAAGGCGATGGCAGATAAGATGTTAAAGCACCTTCCATGGCCGAAACCTGATAGCCTCCGCCGGTTTTATGTCCACATCCATGTAGTTGATCGGACAAAAGCAAATTATAACATTATATAACTGTTTTATCCCCTGAGACCGCGTGAGGCCCCGATATTCTCCCTCAACAAGATCTGTGGAGGGTAACTTGCTGTTTCATGTTATTTGCCTAAATCCAACGGCTGATCAAGGCAAAGGATAAAATAGGAGGCCCCAGAGCGCCAAAGATTCAACAGGGCGTTTTGTTGGATTTATATAATTCAATACTTTCAACTGAACACGGGTCCCGGGTTGTGCTAGTCACGTTTGTTTTTTAGTGTTTAATTTGATCAAAAGGATTTCATCTCAGAATTGAGATCGTTTGGTTATCGATAGTTTGTTTGCTTGTTCGTTTTGGTGCTTGCTTTGGATTTGTCTCAGCTTGATCATCCCTACTGTTGATGACATCCTCGGTCAAGGCAGCGCCAGAGCCGGAGGAGGTGGAGGAGGAGGAGGCGAGCGGACGGGGAGACCTTTCTTGGTTGGCGCCGCTGAGCGGCTGCATTCCTCTCCCGAGAATCCATGGGACTGCATCCCTCCATGGACCTTTGAACCCTCGTGTGTGTGTGTGTGTGTGAGGGGGGGGGGGGGGGGGGGGGGGGCCGCAGCAAAAGGTCGTGGCAAGGACCTGGAGATCGATGGAGGTGACCTGGCCGGAGCCAGATGTGGTACTTTTCGGTGCCGATGCTTTTAGATGCTGGAAGCCTGTGAGTTCACAACGAACTCTTCAAAAAAAGACAGCAGGTGAGACAAGAGATAAGTATGAGATACTATGAATATTGGTAGGCTCCTCCAGGCCTACACATGCACCCCCCCTCGGCTATCCAAAGGCAAAGCCGCCCTGACGACATGTGGCGCAGGAAGACGAAGATGAAGAGGAGGAAGAGGAGGAAGAGGCCTACATTTTCCCTTTTTGAGTGTGACATGGTGAGGATAGTCCGTTTAGAGTTGCAAAGTGCATTTTTCGGACAAGCTGTCAGGTTGGTCAGAAAACTTCGATCTCTAATGATCTCTACCTTTTTAAATTTGGTGGAGGATATGATATCACGGCCAGAACGTAAAACGCTGGCGCCCTCGGGGGAGTGTTGGTCCGGGAGACCGGGTGCGTCAGGATGGAGAGGAGGAAGATGCCGAGGAAGATGAGGAGGAAGATGAGGATTCCGAGCAACACAGACGATGGATTTCCTGTTATAGGGGTGGAGTCGGTCTTCAGCTGGGGATATCAAGCATGTATGCTGAGGTCACAAGCACCTATCAGTGTTGCAGCTATCGCAGTCACTGGCAGATCCTTTTGAGGAGATGGAGGAAGCTCCTGTCTTGAAGAAGCCAGCTGCGGCCAAGGCTGGTGGTCTGGAAGTGTTCGCATAGACACCGTGGTGTTTGAACGACCATGTGTCTCAAAACCACAGGATTGCAAGACATCTCATCAGAAGATCGGCTTGGTCATGACGCGTTGTTTCTTTTTTTCCGAAACCTTCAATCGATGTATACTGTATACTTGTCTATTTTACAAGGAGTGAGCTACTCAGACTCCAGCGTGAAACATTTGCAAATGCAGCCTCTCTCAGTTGGGGCATACTCTCAGAGAGGGAATACGTTTGGGAACTCTCGATATGAGCCAAACTATATGAGCTGAACTTAATATATATATATATATACGTACATATAATATATATATATTGTTTTTAGTCTAATGTATAAAGTAAGGACCGTTCCCAGGAATTGAGAACCCCCTTGGCCACCACTTGAAAATTCAGTGCTTGAATTGGATATGTTACAAGCAAGACATAGGAACGCTCCTGACTTGTGTTGACTTGTGCTAGCGCTGGTGCTAGCTGTCGCTAAGTCGCTGCTGCAGATCGCGTGCCTACATGGGCAACATGAGTACATGGTAGTTCATGGCTCGACTGAATTGTGCAGATACCACCGAATATATATATATATAGAGAGACACCCTCCCAGTGCTAAAAAGTGAATGCTAAGTCGCTGCTGCAAGCACCTCTCACGTTTTCACAGAGACACATGCGCACACAGGCCCAAGAGGATATTCCTACTGTTTAGTTTGCCCAGTGTATGGAAGCGACAACTAGCGCATGGATACTCTTGATCACAGCCGTTTGGTGGCCCGAGGCACTGGTGGAGGCCTGTTTGCAACTTTGACCACTTGCCCAGATGTGCAACGCAGCATCGTGCTAGCAAAGCGCGCTAGGTTTGCGCTGGAGGCACTGGATTGTACGACCTTGACCTAGGCTTTTGATCAAAACCGTTTAGTGATGTGAGGCTGCGCTATCGCGGAGTGCGCTAACGCTTGACATCGCTTGACCACTTGCCCAGCCGATTTCCACAGACATTGAACAATATAGGAACTCACCTCAAATAACCCACTCATGTTGACGCACTTTGACTTTTTACGTGCAAGCTGTATGTAAGAAGATGTAAGAAGATCGCCACTTAAGCTTCATAGTTGGAAGGCCAGCATGCACAACGGAAACATAACAAGTATAAAAAAAAAACAAACACCCATGTCGCGTTCTACATGACCTGTTCGCCACGTGAAAGCCATCACTTGGCAAAAAAATGGAGTTGGTGTGTATATATATATATATTTATGTGTAAAGATGTTCATTATGGTTGTTCTGTTTCAGCATATATAATATATGTGACAGGTCTCGGGTGTGGGGCCGTTGATTCCTTCACCACCATTGACCACGAGTAATTGACAACATGTTTGGTTAAAACCTTTCTGGAATGGTCGTGGTCGGTCCCCAAAAGCATAGATGCAGTCCAAATCATCATTTGATTGGAGGTCCTTTGACCATTCTGCTCACTTTATATTCTGGCCAGATCAGCGTTTAAGTGCTAGCTTATAGCCGTTTGTGAAGATTTGTTGGACCATGCTCGAGCTGGTGATGGGAATTCTGATGCATGAGGTGATCCAACATGCACATGGTTGGGAACATGGAAGACTCACCGATTGTTGTTTCCAATTATTCAAACATCCAATTTTCTGTGAGAAACATCAAACATGCTTACACACTGAATGGATCCAGGAGAACAAATGATACGTTTTTTGGATTGTCAGAATTGTATAATGATGTTGGCGAACGGCCTGGGAGAGTTTGGTGAAATGCCCTGGGTGTTGGCAATCCAGTGGTAGATAGCCACATCGTTTGTTCCAATGCACTGTATATTATATATACATCAAATCATACTATATGATTGATTATTCACACACACACCTGCTGTTCGATTCATGTAGCCATGGTTATTAAAAGAATACGAAAGACGTCGGGAAAAACAACGAAACATAGCAATGAAAATTGTTGTTCCCATGGATGCGCTGGGTTGGCAGGCGAAGTCCTCTGCCAAGGCTGGGGTCTTCCGTTCTTGCCTTGGAACAATTGAGGACCCCCAGTCCAAAACCCGGTAGAAGGGAGCATGGACTATATAACAACCCGAGAACTTGCTAGGAAACGCGTGTCTTCACTGCCACAACTCCACCAATAGGCAAAACCCCCAACTGCCTTGAGGGCTGCCTTGCTCGCCTGGTGAGGCGAAGGCAACGCCCAAGGCGAAAGCAAAGGCGAAAGCCAAAGCGAAGGCAAAGGTGAAGGTGCGACACCTTCCGATCGCGAGGGACGGTCTCGGCCGGGAATAGACCGCCCTCACAACTCTTGGCCAGCAACCCTGAGTTCTCAAGCACTTGTATTGGCAAAGCCTTTTCTATATTCTTGGGGTAGCTACTTAGGGTCTTGATGGTTTCCACCAGATTGCCAAGCATGTTGCCAAACGAGCCCACACAATTGCAACGATGACCGCAAAGAACTGCTTGCCCCATCAACTCCATCAAGGCAAGGTTTCTATGAAAGACAAGAGTCGATTCGTTTGTTGAGTTAGTCAGCTCGTTTGTTGAGCTGTTGTTGAGTTATACTGTGAATCGGACCAGATGAGGCCGAATGCTGAAGGCTGGACATCATCACCTCACAAGGCCCAAGGTTCCCACAGGCCTCACAGCCATCCTGAACATTCATTAAGTGCCATACCATTCATATCATGATGCTTTCAGGACCTTCAAAGTGATCTCTTTGGAGTCTCTAAGTGACCTCGTCAGGGACAATTCGTGACCTCATCCGATCTCAAGTTCGGTCTTTTGGAAGGTCTCTCGGTCTCTATGATCGCTTTAAAAGTCTTGGATATTTAAAGACCAGTGAACAGTCTCTTGGAAGCAGGTCTTGGTGGAAGCAGTCTCAAGTTCGGTCCTTCGTCTAGAGACCTGCTTCTTCCAGGCTGCTCCGAAGAAGGCGGGCGACAAAAATTGAATAAACACGCGCGGCGGTGCGAAGAGAAGGTGGCCGTTTTGTGCGAAAGAAACGGGGGCCTAGCGAGGACGCTACGAAGTAGTGTCTCCTGGCCTTACTACTATAGGAACAAGAAGCTACTAGGAGCAAGGGCAGCAAGGGCATCGCTACTAGTAACAGTTGGAAAGCTTTATTCCAACCCATCGGCCGTTCAAATTACCGGGCCGGTTGGCCGAATGAATTCCGCATCCCCCTGAGAATACATGGAGGTTTGATTGACACAATCGTCAGGAGTCCCCGAGTGTTCCTCCATGTAACAAAACATCTTCGTCAGGAACTTGTACCCTCGGTTCCAGAGCTAGACATGAAGTGAGCGAGATCATCAGCTTCCCAGCGAAGGATGAGGTCCAACGGTCCGACATGGTCCAACGGTCGAGGTTCGGTGAGCAATTGTAGCGTTTGGTGACGGTGAGCAATTGCAGATTACTTTCATAATACGGTCCAAAAGGATCCAAAAGGTTTGAAGACCAAGTCAGAGACCACCCTGGCATCGCTACTAGGACTAGGAGCAAGGATGCTACTAGGGGCTCCTGGCATCGCTACTAGGAGCAAGGATGCTCCTAGGGGCTTTGAAGACGAAGTCAGAGACCAGCCTTCAAAACTGATTCATGTGACTATGTTTGCTTTAAATTACTTTTATACATGTGTATCGCTCACCTCGTGATTCCCAAACAGAAGCTTTTTCTTCACGAAGAGTCGCCCCGTTGTGGAAAACTTGACCGAGCAAGGATATAAAGATGTTAGAAGACCGATTTTTGTGGTTCACCTGTACTTGGACCTGTCATCGCAGTCCAACAACGACCGTTTCACCAAGCGTTGTTTCACCTTTTCCGTGGAAGATGGGAGGTGCTCAAGAAACCGGCGGCCCGCAAGTGATGCTGACGAGGCTGGGAGATGGGAGAGGGCTCCAGGTGCTTTTCGGCATCGGGGCAGGGTGTCCTCTTTCTAAAGCTTGACTTTAGCCTGTGGTGCCGCAGGGTTCTTCATTTGAAGGGCCCTCGTCTGGTGTCGACCATAAAGCTGGGAACTCTTTGGAGACCAGTAGGTTGACCCAACACCTCGCCTGCGATGTTGGTAGTTCGGTGCACTGGAAGGATCAATAGATCAGGTGGACATGATCAAACAAAAGGTGATTGCGAAGTCGAGGTGTTAAAGGAATATCGTGTCCATCTATTTCCTGGTTTGGCTGTTTTATGGAGCCTATAGGTATTTCCATTTTTCTTGAGTGAAGGACTTGGGTTGGGCGTTGAACAAATACTATATTACTATATATTTATTTGATGTTCTTTGTAGGACCTATGCAGATAATAAATTCCGGTAGCTGTTTTCATCATAAAAGGAGTCCATGCCGCTGCGGCAGGAAGATGTCGATGGGGAACAGTATGAGATACTGTGTTCGCTTTGCGAAGAGCCAGAGAGCCAGAGCTGGCGGAGTCCTGGGCTCTTCTACTCTGGAGGTGGTTACAGGTCCTCAGAGCCTTCAGCCTTTCAGGGACCGTCCCACAAATGACGACAGGGATGAAGAACAACTGAAGGATGCAAGCTTAAACAACTTGAGACATGCCTTGGGGCTCAGTCAAGCGGATCGTGACATGCATTTAGCATTGTTGCGTTCAGCTAGTCAATACATGCAAAAAGTAAAAAGAACACCTGGACTTGGAGGGTTGGAGAGTTGGAGATGTGTGGGCATGGGAACTTTCTTCGCGCTTGCAAGTGACCCTCTAGACTAATATGTTTAGCTTGGGGTTATGCACTATTATAGACACATATATGTAATTGTGACTCCGACTAACTTTGATACATCCAGTGCATTATGTAGTTTGTGGGAAGAGGAGGGTGACAAGCGATTGAAAGTGGGAGCCTGCTCATCTGAGTGAAACAGCGCGACCCGAGATCTGCTCAGCTGGGACGAGATCTACTGCAAGGGCTCGCTAATCGAAACTCAGGCAGCCACAATCGCGCCTGAAATGCAGACGCATTGTTTCTATGTGTTTCTGATTTGCTGGACTAAGAGCTTGGATGTGTTGCGACTGGAACAAGGGTACATAGGTACACGACTAGCGAACCAACCTACTCCGTGCCCTAGGCAGTGGTGGACTGGAGAAAGTCATGAACACATCTCTTGTGAAAAGAAGCTACCAAGAAAACAGTACAGACAGTCCAGATCAATAGAGAATCTTTACAAGATCTCGGCAAGCATACATAGCACACTTTGTTACATGATTTGTTACACGCCAAAATCTCGACCCAAGGGAACCATTCAGAACCAGCAGGATCCATAACAGGGACCTCATACCACTTCCAGAATGGACCACTTGCGTGAACAGACAGTATGCCAACTTATGCTTGTTCCTGTGCACACTTTGGAGCTAAGGGGAGTCTTGGGGCCAGTCATGTTGTACTTTCATATTCGTCAAGGCAAACGATTTTCATGTCCATCAGAGTCTCAGATGATCTCAGATATTAAGACTTCTTTTGCGCACACACATCCAATGATTTCTTGCGAGATTCCATTTGATCCAATTTGATGCACTTCCAATTTCATCCAATCTACTAGGAACAAGAAGCTACTAGTAGCAAAGGGCATTACTAGGAGCTAGAAGCTAGTAACAAGGTGCATCGCTACTAAGAACAAGAAGCTACTTTGATCTACTTTGCGAGTTCCTTCGGATCTTTGTCGCCCCAGCAAAGAAGCAGCTTCCGATGGCACGCTCCACCTGGTGAGATCACCAGGGGGGCACGGTCGACCACCGCAAAAGAAGCGCCTGTGCCTTTGCAGGAAGATTGGTCCTGCTTTTCCGGTTTCTTCGGGTATGAGGCAGGTTGACAATCGAGGAATTCGTCGTATTTGTGCGTATTTTAACACTTTCCTAGTCTAGAGATGTCCAGAGTCTATAGAGGTGATTCGTTTTTGGATGTCTCAATGGAAGTGTCGGGTACGGACGATACTTGCTAGGCTGCATGATCTTTCAATTCATATCAGACTCAGTCGGCCGCCTATGTTGCCCTTGCACATCCATTTTCCCTGTACCAAGATGCATCGGTTTTTGGGCAGTCACTCTGTTCTAGACGATTCTAGACGCATCTAGAAGCGATGACACTTTGTTGATGGTTTGATGGGAAATGGCACGGACCTCCACGTACAATGTAAATGGTAGATCCCGGTCACAGCAGTGTGCTGAAACTGGGGGGCAGTGCAACTACTTATATATACTTGGAACCTGCTGCATTTGTTTCCAAACCTTCAAAATGTTTGAGGTCCTGACACATGAAACACTTCTAGGGCCGCATTGATTTTATCACGCGGTTGTTCTGCGTCACCTTGCTTGAGAACAGTGCCCTTTGTGGACAGAGTCAAGCCCATCAAAGAAACTGACATCCCTTCCAGCCAACCACGAGTGAAAGCCCCTTCGGTGGGGTGTGACGAGAAACGATGACTTCCCCAAAAAGGCTGCGCAGTAAGGTCCGCAAAACGGACGTTCGGGAGATTGGAACCACCAAAGGCAGTGTTCTGACCTTGTTTGGCAAGACAAAGGTGATACAGCCCTCTCCACTGCACAGACAGCTGGTCATTGAAACCTTACACACTATAAGGTGCTGTGGGCCAAAAGGACTTTGAAGTCCAAAAGCACTGCAATAATATCCCACAACTAGTAGCTCAAGACATGTTTTCCATCGGCAGAATGAGTGCCCATGCTCACATCAGCTAACGAAAAATGTGTATTCGTGTTTCTACTAGCTTCTTGTTACTAGTAGTAAGGCACTTGTTCCTAGTAGAGATGCCAGGAGCCCCTAGTAGCGTCCTTGCTCCTAGTCACCAGCCTTTTCGCTGGGGCAAAGTTGTGATCAAACTATTTGCTGACCGACCCCGCCTCCTGACGAACAGTGCGTTTGCCGAAAGAGAACACGCTCAAGTGAGTCAAAGCCACTTGAGATCTGGAGATCTGGACTGAGTGGGACAGGAACACACCATATACAGATTCAAAGGTGTATAGTTGTCTTTGGACCCATATTGCAGAATAGGCTTTTAGATGAGTTTAATGAGGTGAAGCGTGAATGATAAATCGAGAGATGATTGCGTGAGTTGCATCAAATGCGCCAGAGTGGTCATGAATCTGCAGATGTTGGTGGACTGTTTCCGCCCCAAACAATCTAGGAACAACACATGTAGGACAGGAACTGCCTGCAAGAGGGGCACGACACGGCATGACCCTCCAAGGGTTGCTCTTTGGAGTTTGGGAGCCTCTCTAAGGACTGTACATGTAAGCGAGTGCAGATCGATGGCGCAAGTTTGGGAACCAGCAACACCCCGAATGCGCATGTGTTTTTGTATTTTCGTCGTTTGCTTGCAAAGATTAGTGAATGTTGGGCAGATTTTCCGTCATGTAAACCTCCTGTCATCAAGTAGTTTCTCCATGAAAAGTAAAGAAATCGCTCGAACCATGCTGAAAAAGAACACACAGCGCATGAAACTCAATTTTCCATCGCTTCCTTTGCCTCGCTTAGCACTGGTCGCATGCCTCCATGGTGCTGGCGGGCAAAGGGTAGGAGGCCCAAGTGGAGGCTTTTCCAGGCGAAACACGGCCTGAGTGACACGGCGGTCCTTGATCGTCGTTCGGCCAAACATCGACGTTTGTTGCACCTGATACCCAGCTGCTGAAGCAGCTGCTGCCCCGGCTGCCGAAAAACCCAACCTTTTCCCTTTGAGACCGCGAGACCGCGGCAGGAGACCCATTTCTCCGATCGGCTTGCCACGGAGGATAAGCAATTCAACCAAACAACCGGCATCAAATGGCCATCTATATGTATCCACATTCCTAATACCTCATTCACCGGAAAGCTAGAGACATATGGAACATTGCATTGCATGACTAATTGGACTGGCTTGGACGTTCCATTTGGTCTACATCTTAAGGACTTCGACTTCGGGGATGGGCCCTGGGATGGGCCCTGCATGGTCCTACCAGGTCCTCACGGTCCCACAGCTCGGGATGCTTGTCACGAGGCACAGCGTCAAACGCAGCGTCAAACGCCGAGGTTAAACCTCTCGGCACTGCGGCGAGTCCGAGGACTCTGGAAAGAGGCCCCATCCTGACATCCGACTCGGTTGAACCGGAGGTTCCAAAAGGTGAAGCTTTGATGTTAGCTCTGAGCTTACTCTGAAGATACTCTTCATTTAATGAGTTGCGCAGGTTGGTTACTTTTGATGTTGCTGAAAGGACGTTTTCGTGCTAAGTTTTTGTTTGGGGATGGGCTGAAAGAACATCATCTCCAGTGGGCCCAGCTCTAGAAAGGGCATGCAGAACAGATGAGCTTTGCACGGTACTTTATCCAAGAAAGGATTTTTACAGCACAAAAAGCGCATCATTTTCTACTTCTTTACTTCCTTGGGTATCAGCAGCACCCGCAGTTTGGGTGCAACAGCCACCTTCATCGAGTTGCAGTGGGTTTACAATCAAAACCTAAAAGTGATTAACGTTATAATTCAATCGTCATATTCTATGATTGAATTTGAGCTTTATGGAAAAAGGCTTCCAGTGAAACAAACATGTGTGATGATTTTACCTTGTGCATTCCCTTGACAGGACAGAACCAGCTTCCCAAAGTCACCAGCAACCCCTCCAATGGCTCCACTAAAGCAACGTCCGCAAGATTCATCCCACCAAGCCTTGTAGGCATCTCACCTGCGTTTTTGGTGACCCGGGTGCCCCACAATAGCCATCAAAACAGGTTCATGGGGGAGCTTTCAAGGGGAACCCAGGGACTTCCCACCCCTGTTGCGTTCTTCCTTCACCCGGACCGTTCTTCGCGCTGCTGAGAACGTTTTCACCGGCGCTAGGAGCTACAGCCCGTGACCTTAGCCGAGCTGTGGGGGAACTCCCATGGAACGCCAGACGAGGAGCGGTCGTGCGTGGCCGGTGGCCAAACAAGGCAAAAACCAAGTCGGATGCAAGGTGACATGATATGACTTGTTTTTTCCCCACCTGCCAGGTGAGGGTTGTTAGATTTTATCACAGTTGTTCTTCCTCCTCCTCCTTCCTTTCTCCTTCCTCCTTGCTTCCTTCCTCGCCAATCTTCATCGCCTCGCCAATCTGCATCGCCAATCTTCATCGCCAATCTGCTTCGCCAATCTGCTTCGCCGATCTTGTCTGGCCAGCTCCGGATCGCAGTGTGCACCCCTGGACCTCAACCGCAAGGATCCCCTCGCAGTGTGCACCCCTGGACCTCAACCGCAAGGATCCCCTCGCAGTGTGCACCCCTGGACCTCAACCGCAAGGATCCGATCGCAGTGTGCATCCCTGGACCTCAACCGCAAGGATCCGATCGCAGTGTGCACCCCTGGACCTCAACCGCAAGGATCCGATCGCAGTGTGCACCGCTGGACCTCAACCAGATAGCTTGCCAGATAAAATACCAGATAGAGTGCCAACTAGATTGCCAGATAGAATGCTGCAAGAAGATATGCCAGATAGTATGCCAAATAGTGTGTCAGATAGATTGCTAGATACATTGCCAGATAGAATGCCAGAAAATATGCCAGATAGAATGCCAGACAAAGTGCCAGATAGAATGCCAGACAGTATGCCAGATAGTATGTCAGATAGATTGCCAGACTATGGCATCAAGTCAAATGATTGAAATGTCATGGTGGGGATCACTCGAAGTAAAGTATTTCTTTTTCAGGGGTTGTTTTTCTTGATCTAGTTGACGCGGTATTTACTTGTTTTTTCGTTCTCAGTTTGCATGAGTTGGATGGAACAGCTATATATATATATATGTGTTCCTTTGTTCATGGATCCTATACCTCGTGCTGCATTAAGATGTTGTTTCTGTTTTTTGTGATTTGCAGGTGGTTAGCCAAGTGAGTCCAGAAGATTTATGTGTATTTACCTTCATTCTTAGGAGCAGCAGCTCTTTCAACATTGAGATGGCTCCACTGTGCTCCACTTAGCCACAAATTGATTCCCATCCCTCCAAGTATTAGTTTAGGTAACAATTCACCAAAATTTCAATTGCATACGTAGGCAAATCACCCAATTCTCCCAACAGAGGGCACTGGAAGAGCACACAAAGCACCTAATGGGCTCCACTTTGGCACCTTGAAATGATGTATGTCCCTTCAAACTCCAGGCGCGATGCTTGCAATTGGCTCGCCAAACGCAGCGGCAGATCAAGGTGAGGAGTTGGGAAGGCAAGTAAATCACATTGTTTTTCTTTTATCACATGGCCTTCTGAGTTCTTCGATGTTAAGACAAACCATTGTCTCACCACTCACAACTTATATTTTAACATAATGTACCAGCACCATCCGACGGGTGCCCAATGAGTTTTGGGTTTACATGCTTGATAAGCGGTGCCCAATTGATGTAGTTGGGCAGCAGGAAAAACTGCATCAAGACACTTTGCTTCACAGGAAGTGTGGATGAGTGGTATTTTTCGTCCTGTTTGAGCCCAACGGACTTTCCCGACCCAGGTGTTTCATGGGGCGTTCGGTTGTTGAATTTGTTCCTCACCACGAGAGGAGTGCCCAAAAGAAGAACTTCTTGGCAACTTCTTGGTGGTTTCTTGTGAATATTAATATTTCAACGTGTTTTTGATACACTGGGCCAGGTGCGGCTTGCGCAGCGGCTGCAGGATTTTCTGTTCTTGCCCTACAAGGCGGAGAGGGTGCGGGTGCGGCACGAGGTGAGCAGCACAACAGCTACATCAGTATGTTGTTGTTTATCAACCGACGAGGTTGTGATTGATATAGTGATTGTTATCTCAACATCGATGAATGTGCCTGTTCATGGATCATCATGGATCCGTACATCATCATGACAAGCGCGTGTTGTTGGACATCCGTACCTGGGGTATGTTGCCAAGAGACTTGGCACAGGATGGATTGAAACCAATGTTGGTGTTGTGAATTGTGAACATGTGTGGGGAGACCATCATTGGTGCCAGGCGTTGTGGTCAGGATGTTAGGATCCTCCGGTCGAATCGACCTCCCACCGACACCTTTTCAACGGGCCGGTGGGTGATCTGTGTGTCACGTGCCGCAACATTGTCCAGGCCATGGCAGATCCAGCTGTCCGGACATTGTATAGTAAGTACGTGAGTGCGTACACCATCCACGAGGTGTGAAGCCTCAGTGCGTACCCGGTTGAGAGTCGGGTGCGGGGCTGAAAACAGCAAGCGATGGGTTCACAGCAAGCGATGGCAATCAAGAACGTCATGTGGATATATACGATTTTCATAGGGAGACCCCCTGGCTCAATGGATTTTGGATGATTTTGGATCTATATGTTCTTCTTCCAGGAGTGTGTCTGGGAGGTCTCCCTATTTGGGCTACACATCTATGTCGCCAAATGAACATCAGATTACCAGACTTTGGGCGTCGAAGACGATCGTCACTGACCCTGTTGGGTGGCCCGAGGAGTTTGACGATCTGCGCCGGCCCGAGGACGTTGCCAAGTGACCCCCTTTTGAGATCGGTGGAGTCTGACCAGTTTTTCGGACGGAAGCATGCCAAATGTTCTGTGGATCTAGTATAGGCCTGCCCGGAGAGTTGAACAAATGGTCTATACGTTTGGTGTGTGCATTGAGGTACTGGATCTCCTTGGCGGAGATCTTTGAAGAAAACCAAAATGCCTGGGAGGCTCAGTTGCGCCTTGCACGGTGCGGCACAGTGGGTGCAGAGTCGAACAGATGTTCGACTGTATGAAGTTGCCCAAAAGGGAACACTCTCTCCAAAAGGAGTCCAGCATGTATTTCTTTCTCACTTCACTTTCTGAAACATGCTGCAGCCAGTTTGGGTGTT